ATCACTATATTTTGCCATTTTAATTACAGTATGTCTTGGTGTGCATCTGCTTTTGCTGATTTAGTTGGAGGTTCTCTGTGCCTCCTGAATCTGGATATCTGTTTCCTTCCCTGGATCAGGGTAATTTTCAGCTATTATTTCTTCAAATAAATTTTCTGGCTCCTTTTCTCTCTCTGCTTCTTCTGGAACTCCTATAATGTGAATGTCATTACATTTGATGGAGTCACTGAGTTTCCTAAGTCTATTCTTGTTTTGCATAGTTATTTTTTCTCTTTTGTTCAGCTTGATTTCTTTCCATTACTGTCTTTTCTATCATTAATTGATTCCTGTGTTTTCTCCAGCCTGATACTCATTCCATCAAGACTGTTTCTCATTTTGTTTGTTTATTGAGCCCTTTATCTCTGCTATGTTATTCCTTATCTCTGGGTTAATGGTCTCCCTAGTGTTCTCCACTCTTTTCTCAAGTCCTATGAGAATCCTTAGGATCACAGCTTTAAATTCTTTACCAGGCATGGTACTATATATCTGTTTTTCTTAGAACTTCTGAGGTAGCCTTGTCTTTTCATTTGGGACAAAATGTCTTCTTATTTTGTCTAAGTCTCTGTGCCTGTTTCGTTGTTAGGAAAGTTAGCTACATCTTCTGTTCTTACCCTTAGGTAAGGGCTTTATGAAGAAGAGATCCTGTAGTGCTCTGCAGTGTAATGGCCCCTGTTCCCCAAGGCCTGGTGATTCCAGGAGTGTCTCTAACGTGTCCTGGCTACTTTATCCTTCAGACTAGTCTATAGAGCCTCTCTTTGTTGTGGACAGAGTTTGGTCCTTGGCCTGAGTTGGTGTGTTTGACTAGGTGTGCTCTGGTCTGCTTGTTAATGAGATCTATTGCTGCTGCCACTGGAACAGAGGCCTCACAAAACGTGTAAGTCAGGAGATGCAGTGTTGTCAGGAGTTTGGGGCCCTCTTCTGAAGGGGGGGCCTGCTGGGAATGAGGCAAGCATGACTGGAAAGTGTGGTTCTTGCAGAGCATGATGCTAGGTATAATTAAGTACCAACTGTTGGCATTACACTTTTTAGAACTTTAAAAATTTTTTTATATGTTTTTATTTATTTGTGTGAGAGAGAGAGACAGAATGCAAGCTGGGCAGGGGCAGAAAGAAAGGGAGACACAAAATCCAAAGCAGCCTCTAGGCCCTGAGCTGTCAGTACAGAGCCCAATGCAGAGCTGGAACTCGTAAACCACAAGATAATGACCTGGGCCGAAGTTGGATGCTCAACCGACTGAGCCAGCCAGGTGCCCCTTGCCCTGGTTACTACAGGTGACTCTGCTTTTATGTTAATGGGAGGGGTAGGGGAAGGCATTTGCCAGTTCCTATGTTCTCAGAGGGGTCTCTCCATGAACACTGTCTCTCTAGAACATGCTCTCAGATGAGCAACTAACCTCCCCAGTGTGTGCCCCAAGACACTCTTCAGATTGCTATTTCATGCTGTATGTCTGCGGGCTATTTGGGGCTGCTCTTGAAGAGAAGGCAGGCGATGTCCTTTAAAAATCGGGGCTTTAAGCACCACTGGTTGCAAGAACTCAGGAAGTAAGTGCCCTTTTGCTTTCCAAGCCAATTGCTGTGGGGATTCATTTTTTCTGTATGCTCCCCTGTGTTTCACCCTTCTCTGTGACCACTGCTCCCTCCATTCTGTGGTTGCCATGATCCATTTCTCTCTCAAGCCACAACTCTGGACTCTATCTTCTTGATGTGGCCTCTTCTCTACCTTTAGTTGTGGAGTTTATTCTGCCAGTCTTCAGATAGATTTCTGGCGTCCTTAGGATGATATGATAGTTGTCTAGTTGTATTTGTGGGATGCAGCAAGCCTAGGTTCCTCCTACTCAGCTGCCATCTTCCCCTTCTTCTTCAAGTAGGCCTGTCATGGGAAAACTGGGGGTAGTAGGCAGCCAAGAACTCTCTCCATTTGTTACTGTCCCATGGGGCCCAGGATCTCAAGCCTGCTCACCACCAGAGCCAGGTGATCAAGAGGTATTCTCTGGCTGGCAGCCATAAAAACTAGAGCATCAGACCTGTGCAATGGCTCCCCTCCAGGCGATATTGGTGCTCTGGAGTGTGGTAGAGGAAGGATGCAAAGATGGTAAGCACCGGCAGCTATCTATCCTTACAGTGTACTCCAGCAGGCCTCTCCTCTGTTTGAGGTGTCTGCCCTTTAGATTGCTGCTTGTTTCTTTTTTAATGTTTGTTTTTGAATGACAGTGTGAGCAGGGAGTGGCAGAGAGAGAGGGAAACACAGAATCCAAAACAGGCCCCAAGTTCTGAGTCTGGATGTGGGGCTCAAACCCATAAACTGTGAGATCATGACCTGAGCTGAAGTTGGATGCTTAGCTGACTGAGCCACACAGGCACCCCCAGATTGCTGCTTTAAGATAACAAGCCTGTTGCACAGAAAGTCTGGACACCTGTCAAAGGGCTGCCTTGGTGTAGGTAAGTCCATGTGCAAGGCTTTAATGAACCATTTCTCAGTTTGCTATAGCCTTGTGGGTCTCAAGGACATGAGCCCCATTGGCTTTCAAAGCTAGAGGTGTAAGGAGCTGGTTCCTGCGGTGCCTGTCTTAAAAATGTAGGGTTCAAACTCTTGCTTTTCATAGAGAAGCTTTTAAGTTCTCTTCCAATTGTGGGTCACTGTGCCAAAGGTGGGGTTTATGGTGACTTTGTGGCTCAGCCTTTCTTACCTGCTTCAATGTGGGATGTTCCTTGCTTGCCAGATGTGTAGGAGTTGCTCTGGTGGTTGTGGGTTTTTCAGAGGATATTGTTCCATATGTAGCTGGAGATTTGGGGCACCACAGGAAGAGGTGGGTTCAGGATCTTCCTACATTGCACCTTGAACCAGTCTCTTCATGCTTAACTTATCCAGCATCTTGCCTGTGTCTGGAACTCTTCCTCAACCACTTTGTGACCTTAAGTGTGAACTCCTCAGGTCTCATTTGTAAAGAGAATACAGAAGAGCAGTCAAAATAAATCATTTCAACTCAAGAAATACTGAAGAGGCATCTTATGTGCTGTAGGCACTGCTAGGTGCTGAGATAGGGGAAGATAATCATCTGCACCCACAGGGAAGTTAAAGTAGTAAAATTAGTTGGTATGGTTTGTAAAGCAGATGCTGTTATTTCATCCTTCTCTCCTTACCACCATTGCTCAAAATAGTGAATGACTATCCTCCTAACCTGGAACTAAAGTATTTCTAAGAATAAGGGAGAGTGGATGATGACTACACAGGACTCAGGAGCCAGAAAAGTGAGGGAATGGAAGCATAAACACGGGAGATGACGTGTGACAGTGGCTCGGCCAGGACATGATCATGTTCCAGGTGACTTTGTCACTGCCCTTCCCGGTCCTGTGATCTTTCCACCTGGGGTCATATATTTACCAGCTGCATCTTCCTGATTTGAGATAAGGGCCTGCTTGATAATTCATGGACTGTGGACCCTCTCTGTGGGCAAATGCACACACAACATTTAAATGCAATTTTAGGGGGTTCTCAAGAGGGAGGACTGCCTTATCTTCCTAGCAGCATTTCTGTCTTAGAAGTGGGCTATATTTCATTGTACTCTGCTGGGCCACAGCCTTGGTGACATGTTGCTATTTATAAATAAGGCTGCTAATGAATGCAGGAAATGGAGGGAGTTCATGAGTGGTCCCTGGACCAGATGATGCAACAGGTGACTCATTTCTCTCTTTGCCTTTCCAGTTCTAAGGTTATAGCCTGAGGGATTTGGGTTCTCTTAGAACTGTGTCTGTTTTTATCCTGGTTGGTATTTAAAATCCATTTTGAATAACATTGATGTGGATTTCCTTTTCCTGGGACTTGGCAGGGCCCTTCCAGTGTAGCCCTCAGCCTCATCACAACCCTGCACCAACTCATTGTGCCATTGGTGCCCCTTATGTCAAGCTAGTGTGGGTGGCTGGGGGGGCTCTGCAGTGCCACCCCTTTATCCAGCCATGTTGCATTTTTGTCACCAAAATGACTAGTGACCTGAGTGGAAGGAACCCTTCACAGTTTACTTGGTTCTCTGGCATATGCAGAAACAAAACTATGGTCAAATGAGGAAACATGCTCAGAGAGGTATACCCAAAGTCCTACCCTAAATATGTAGCAGAGCTCAAACACAGCTCTTATCACCAAATCTTAGGTTCTACTTTTTTTTTTTTTTTTGGGTGAAAAAATTTAGATTTAGCCAGCTGGATTCCATTTAGATGATCTCAATTTCATTGGCAATAGTCAAAGCATCATAGTGAGGAGCCAGTTGAACATATGCTGCCTTCTCTCCATTGGGCCTGATGGAGGTGTTGATCTTGGCCACATCAATGTCATACAGCTGCTTCACAGCCTGTTTTATCTGGTGCTTGTTGGCTTTGACCTCCATAATGAACACAAGTGTGTTATTCTCTTCTGTTTCCTTCATGGCTGACTCAAGATTAGGGGGAACTTGATGATGGCATAGTGGTCAAGTGGGTTTCTCCTGGTCGGGGGGCACTCTTTTGAGGGTATTTGGGCTGCCTTTGGAGACACAGTGTCTTGGCCTGTTGGAAGGTAGGTGACGTAGATTTTTGTGTGTGATTTCAGCACCCTTTTCTTGGCCTTCAAAGCCTTTGCTTTGGCTTTGGGAGGGGCACAAGCTTCCTTCTTCACCTTTGTTGTCTTTAAGAAAAGGTAGGTTCTACTTTTCTACATAAATTTGCTTTTCCTTGTGTCTGTACAGTTCTTCCTGATTGGCAAATTGAATGTCAAGGACTATCCTCTAGTGAACACAGAGCTGGTTACCTGGTTCCCACCTAAAAGGCCTTTGCTGCCTCTTTAGCACCTTTCATTTTTTCAGTAATTACTGAGACTGAGCATGTTCTCTGCCTGGCTGATGGGAGAGCACTAAAGTATAAATTAGGTACAATTCAGGGGCTGGCCTGTTCCCATGGGTTTTTTGGACAGTGACTGATGTTTGTCTCCTGCAGAAATGCCAGACAATGCAGCGGTTCTGCTGGGTGTTTGCTGTAAACTCCAGATTATTCCTGCGCTGTGTCACTTGGTAAGAAACCTCTCAGATGGGACCTGGGGATGGGCACCCGACAACTGATAAAACACCTTTAGGATTTCTCATCCATAACAGCCCTTCAAGATAGGTTAAACAGATGTTATTAACTCCACTTTTTTTTTGTATCACACTGTCCACATCACACCACACACCCTACCCTATGGGAAGACTGAGATCGAGAGGAAAAGGATTTGAACAAAGAACTTGTTAGCAGGGTAGGACTCTCAACTTTGCCATTAGATTCCAAATCTCATGTTTTTCCCAGTGTTTGGAGAATTTTGGCCAAGGTTTGGTTGCAACATTGCAGGGAAGGAACCTGACACCATTTGCAGGGTTATGGTTAGGCCAGTTGGATGCAGCTCTGCCTCAAATTCACCATGAAGATATTTAAGAGGAGACTGGTCTCAGAGTTAGGTAGTGATGACCTTAGCCCTGGAGAGTCAAGATTAAGCCTTACCTTTTTAAGTTACAAATTGGGTCATTAATAGAAGGAACCATCAATACACTGCCCAGAAGTCACTCGAATGGGGCAGGTGTTGCTCAGCCTGGGGCAGAGAACAAAAGCATACCAGGCTAGATTATTTTAAGGTCTGGTTACTTACAAAGAGTCAAAACGAACATGCTTTGTAGGCTAAAAACTCCAAAGCTCAGAGCTCTGCTCCCAGATCTGGGAAGTAGGTATTGAGATTAAGTGCCTGGACAGGACCCTGAAATTTGTTATCCATCTAGTCTGAGAACTTTGAGCACCATGCTTAGTGCCTTGGGTACTTCTCTGAATAGCAAAGACATCTGAACAAGGGCATTGTTCCAAGGAACAGTTTACAGCCCATTCACAACTGAAAGCAGTTTCTACCCACTGGTAGAGGAATTCTGGGTTCTTGTACTGTGACCACAAAAACTGAACTACTTGAAAACGTGCCAGCATGTTTGTTCTGGGGTCAGCTAAGGGTAAAGGCTGGTGGTGTAGTTATGAAAACAGTATCATCTATTTGTCCGTAATGATGAGCATAGCAGTAACTTTGCACTTAGCATTTCCCAGGGTCCTAAGATTTACAAAATTATCTACTGCATTCAGGAAATACTTCCTGAATTGTGTGTATATTACTGCAAGACCACATTAGCTAATTCCCGTTCCCAACAAACTCATACTTCATTGTCATCTTCCTTGTAGTCTGCGTTAGATCTGATCATCCAAGTTCTGCTTTGTTGGTCTAAAGGTAGCCACATTCAGGGTTCTAGAATGGCTGGTATTCTACAGTGGCACAAAAGCCCACAGAGTCATTTGTGTGGTTTTTGGGAGCTGTTCAACATAGACAAAGAATTTTTCTTTTGAAGAATTTCCTGGGTATCTTCACATAATTTGCCCTAGATACTGCAGCAACGCTAAAGACAATGAGGCTCCTGCCTTCTGAACGAATTTGGGTATTGTGTTTCTTATAGGGATTTACTTAGAACAGGGTACAAAATTCTATCTGTATTCCTGTCTTCTCTTATCTGGTGGCCAGAATAACTTTGAGAGCCTTTCAGAAGGGCTTTTGGAAGAACAGCATCAGATACACTAATTGTTTGCCAAACTGGGAAGAAGGTGAGTTAGAGACTGCTAATTCTGCGCCTGCCCCCACCCTTTGGGTGACCCTTACCTAGAAGGGTCTCTGGACCCATGGGCCCGGCAGATATTCAGAGTAGGAAGCTGGATGCTGCTCAGCCCCTGTCCACTAGACTCCAGACACAGCCTGCTATAGGCAGTCTTGAGGCTGTGCCAGTAGAGCTCATTCTTAAATCGCTGGGATGTGGTGCTCAAAGAGCAAGCCTGGTCCACTCTGAAGTCAGAGTTGATGGTCTTGACCAAAAGCTGATGTTAAGCCTGTGGTAATTACTTTTATCAAATGCGTGCTGCACTTCTGCCACTGGGGCAAGTTTTAGTAAGGTTATCATTGCTCAGGACATTTCTGGAAATTTTTTGGATTCCCTTCATTTTTTTATTTTAAATTTTACTCTCTACATTAATTGGATCTGGTTTTCAATGCCTGTGTAAAAATCTGAGAACTTGCAATTAGAGCAGCAGCTGAAGTGAACTCTCATTCAGCACATGGAGGGCCCTATGTTCTATGACAGACCAGCCTCCTAAAAAGCTTAGATTTTAGAAAACAGACTAAACAGTGACTATCTTCAGAAAGACAGTAGGGTAATAGTCGTTGAGATATGGGGGTGGAGGGAAGATCAGGAAAGGCTGTTCTGACGTGGCATTTCAATGGACCATGAGAGAGGAGAAGAAAAGGTCTATGTGGAACTCTAGAGGAAGAGTATCCCAGGTAGAAGGAATAGCAAAAGAAAGGTTCTTGAGGCAGGAAGCATAACTAAACTGTGGTACTTATCCCTTTGAGGAGATCAAGCAGCTGTATAGGAAATTCTAATATCATTAAAATAAACAATACATACTGTGTGTATGGGAAAGTTACATTCTGAACTTCCTAATCTCCTGAAGTTAAGGGATCTAGGAGAAGATACAGAGTTCAGAGAGTAGAAGGACTGTCAGAACTGCAGGCAAATTGGAAAACTCAGGCATAAGGTCAGGGCCCAGGTCACATAAATCTTGTTATTTGTTACATCTTAAGGGTGCTCCTTTTGAGGAATGTAAAAAACTATTTTTTCTCTGTGGATTTTCTATAACATTTTAAGTGAATTTGCTTAAACATGTCATTTCAGTTTCATGGTCTCTCGGCTGATGGAGTATCTGATCTTAAAAACCCAATCTTGGCTCCTCTGAAGGATCTAGAAAGGTTTGGTGTCGCACAGCGTTTGTTTGCCACAGTCAACGTGAACCTGGAGAGACTGCCGTCATCCATAAAAGTTGTCACCGAGGAGGACCCCAACACTGTCCCACGAATTCTTTATATAAGCCTCAGTGGGCTCTGTGCTTTACGCAGAGCACATTAATAACATGTGAATTAGAAGTACAAGACCATCAAAGTTAAGATACTACTGAGTTTAGCTACCAAGAGGCCCAGTATCTAAGGTAACTCCAGCACCCACAGGGTTGAGAACTCTAAGCTGGTGTTTAGTTAAAACCCTCTTCTACAGCGAGATAGGTCCATCTATCACTTTCTTTCATAAAGACAGCTGAGTCTATAGAACATGTGCTGATTGAGGAAATGAACTGTAAATACCACTACAGTATACATATTCCTCTGCTGAATAAAATTAAAATGATCTCATAGCAGGACACCCTTCCTTAGGGGTCTAGCTATATACATTTCATTTTTGTCATGCTTTGACTAACATACCAATTCTAGGTCTAGAACAATGCTGATTTCCTATGCATTCTGGATGTTTGATTTGTAAAATACTACATATTTTAATTCTGTCTTGACATTCTTCTATAAAAATGCATGGAATGTCTCTTTAGTGCCCCTGATTCCATTGCTAATATCCACTGGGGACCTGAAATCCCTTCTTTCCCTTAGTAAAAAGTAGCTAGGACCTCCTGCCAGAGGTCTGACTTTAGGAGCAGGGAGGATTAGAAGTCGCAGTTGTTGAAGAGAAACATGTTACCCAGCATGCATATATATATATATATATATATATATATAACCTTGTCATCTACTTGAATGTTAAAATGGAAGAGATGAAGCAAACAACGCTTTCATTGCTTCAGTCAAAAATGAGACTAAATCTTAGGACGCATGAGGAAAAAAATTGCACATTGTGTGGCAACAACAAAAAAAGCACCGTAGCTACAGCTGTGGCACTATACATTGCCTTTCTGGCTTTCTGAAATAAACTTTTATAAACAACAAACTGAGGACAGATTGTGTAAGAAGAATCTACTTGTATAAAAAATAGATACACATGTACCACAGTGCAACGGGAGCTTCCTTTAAGAGTCCACAAGAAGCGGCACCTGAGTGGCTCAGTCAGTTAAGCATCTGACATCGGCTCAGGTCATGATCTCCCGGTTCGTGAGTTCAAGCCCCACGTTGGGCTCTGGGCTGACAGCTCAGAGTCAAGAGCATGCTTCGGATTCTGTCTCCCACTGCCTGTCCCTCCGCCATTTGCACTGTGCCTTTCCATTGTCTCAAAAATAAACATTAAAAAAGCCCACAAGAAACCTGACAGTGGCTCCTTGGGGGAAGAGAGAGGAGTTAGAAGTTGGGGCAAGGCTAGGGGAGTTACCCTTCTGTTCCTGTTAGAATTTTGTATGCATGAGCCTCTAAGTTGAAATGCACCAACTAACACCACCCCAAAGCAACAAAAACTAAAGATGCCATCCCAGGATGTGCCTATACTGCTACAGGTGTTCCTAGCCACCCTGCCACCCCCCAGTTACTGCCATTCCTTAGCAGACCCCAATGTAATGTTGTGGACAAAGTAGTGCTGGGCCTCCAAAAGGCTCTTCTAACTGGAATCTTCATCGCTACATATAATTATTAACTGTAAATGTACCTTTATTTACTGCTTGAGATCAAGAACTATTAAAAATAGTTACATTTGGAAACAAGTTCCAGTAGACTAGATCACCTAGAAAACAGAAAATAGGGTAATACTTCTGAAGAGGCCAGCCACCTTCACTCAGATGTTTCCATGACCACTCCTCTTTCCTAAGTGGGTGCAGAAAGAAACACATTAGCTAGTGTGGTATGGCCCTGGAACAGTCCCTCAGAGAGGTCCAGAATGTAATCATCCCTGGAACCTGTGAACATGTTACCTTACATGCCAAAAAGGGACTTCACAGGTGTTTTTCAGGTTACAGACCTTAAGATGGACAGATTATCTGGGTGGGCCCTTAAAAGAAAAAAGGCAGAAGAGTCAGAGAGATACTTGGCCAAAGAAAATGCAGGAAAGATGTGGCATAAGAAGGACTCAGTGCTGTTGCTAGCTCTGGGACAGGAGAGGTCAGTTCAAAAACAAGAGTGCAGTCCACCTGACAGCCAGGAAGGAAGAGGGGACCTGAGTTCTACAACACCATGGAACTGAAGTCCGCCAACAACCCACAGGAGCCTGGAAGCAGATTCTCTCTCCAGCAGTAAGAGCCAGGGCAGGCCCTGGGAAACGTCTCAATTTTAGTTTGGCGAGACCCATGTTGGATTTCCATCCTACAGAACTAAGTCTGTGTTTTAAGCTGCTAAATTTGTGGTAATATTTTTACTGCAGTGGTAGAATACTGGCAGCGTAAGATGAAAGAATGAACGATAGAAGTGAGAAGTACACTGGACTAGCAGTTTCTGAAGTACAAGGTAGGGAATCCCAGAAACTTGCTTGAGAAAGAGTTGCAAAGTACCTTTTCTGGAAGCAGGCTTCATGCACTCACCCACAGTCATGCGTCTACCTCTTGGGCAGCCTGGCAGGTCCACCTCCCTTTTCCACCGCAGGCCTCAAGGGTGAGCTGTGTGCCCCAGCAGGCGTTGTCTTTCCCACCGGGGCTTCTCTTGCTTGGCTGGTCCTAGCATCTCACGCTATCTAAGCACAAAGGCCTTTTCTTGATCCTATATTTTAATCTTCCCTGTGTCTGCAGTTTCTTTTTCCTTGAGTACATCACCTTTGAAAGCCACCAAATCACTTGGGCTGGGACAAAGGAAACAACAGTTAGGGTTTCCTTGTTAAAGAAGAGAAGCAGGTGAAAAATTTATATATTTATTTTGGTGAGAAAAGCAATGTTATTACAGGCTTTTTACAAAGATTATTAGCATTTAAAAGAAATTACCAAAGCTAATCTGATATCCTCTGTATTACCTCTAAACCTTAATTCTACCTATAAATGAAACACTGCATTGTTTGCAATATTAAATATTTATTTTTATATATACAAAAATAGTTTACCTGGAATATACAATCTCCCATGTTTGGACAGGATATGGAAATATGCAAAAAAAATTTATAGGGACAGTTTCTGAAAACTCAATACTTAATTGTACTGCAGGAAAATTTTATTTATACAAGGACAGCAGTAATGTTTCTTTTATACAGGAATAATACAATTACTTGGAAAGCAGCAGCAATCAACTTTTATTTTTAAACTTTTTCATTAGAAAACTTAAGCAGCTTGTTCAGCTTTTATTTTTAGGTTGCTAATAAGCATTTTGTCTTCTGTTAAAAAAAAAAAGTTCTACAACCATTTCAAAGACTAGAGGTTAAAAACAGCATGCATTTGTGTTCAAAATAGAGATATACCAAACTGAAATGGGGAGGGGGACCCCAAAGCAAGGTTTTCACATCAAATACTCACCATGGGCTCTAACAGAACTCAACATGCAGAAAACTACACTTGTTTTGCTGAACCCTAGTGCTCATTCTTCTCCAGCAAAACCCTAGATCCCACTTCCTTCAAAGTCAACATTACCAAAGAAACAGCAGTTGGTTGTTCTTTTTCAAAGAGGACACACAACCAAAAGGAATATTTATCTTATATTTCAATTACAGATGAGATGAGCTATTCTTCAAATTTGGTTCTACCTGAAAAGATGAAGGCATTCCTCATTTGGACCACGTTTACCAGAACAAGCTTTATGTCTTCAAAGCAACATTATTTGTCCCACTGCCCGTCTCTCCTATTTGAGAATAAGACAAAACCCACATATGTTAACTGGTGATGACTTCTGGTTTAATAGTGGTAATTTATACCTGAGGAGTTTTGAGTGCTCTGCTTTTTTCCACTTCCTCCAAGCTCTCAGGCCACCTTGACTGATAGGAGGAAAGCTAAATTTCAGGTATGGCCTGCCATATTTGTAGGTTTCTGCCCCCAGAGTTTGCTGTGGCTAAAGTACAACAAAAATATCCAGTCCAACTTGTAAGACCAGACCTTTTAGCTTCTGCTTTGTGGCAACAACAATACCTATTCAGTAGGACTCAAGACAGGTTTACAAGCATGGAGTCAATTGCTCTCCCAAGTATTAAGTGGCATTTACATTAACTGTAGCTGTGTTCATTCAGTTTGTGCTAGAAATTAGAAAACAGTAAAAACTAGTAGGGGAAAAAAGGGAAGGAACTGTCACTTCTGGCTGACTGGCATGTGGAGGCAAGTCACATTCATCACAGCACAGCATTATCAGCCAACAGCCACGAAGCTATGAGAAAGAATGCAACTAAGATATCTTCATATTGGATTCAAGGTCCACTAAGTGGGTCTAGCCAAACATTTCTCCCTATAAATAAACAGAGGCCTTTTAAACTTAATACTATGGGCTAAACAATAGGGCTGCAGTGATAAATTTCAGCCATAAGAATTAAGGTAGGGCAGCTTTAAGGGGGGCAAAGATTAGAATGTGGTTGGATGTAAGAGAGTACTGGATTGCTTAAATTTTGTGAGTAACAGCAAGAATTCGCTAAAGGTTTGGACTTAGAGGTGGCATTCTAAACTAAATGACTCTCCTGACCAATGCCACTGAGAGCAGAAAAGGCCCTCTTCCAAGGCTGGAACTACAACCTCAGAGCTGTTTTAAAACTGGAGGTAAGATTCTTGAATGGTATGTACCATTCATTATGTAACCTCTGAAAGAGATGCACTTTTAAAAAAAACTAAATGGTAAACAACCTCAATATAAGTGAATACATAAAGTAAATGGATAAAGCAGCCTAATAAGGATTTCCCAGTCTAGCATTTACTATATCAGAGATACAAATTGCTTCTTGTAATTTAAGGTGAAGACAAATATTAAGCTAGCCTTATTTAACTAGTGGAATATTAAAAGTAAAGGGAGATATAAATTTTATCAAAGGTCAGGTGGTCAAGAATCAGAATTAGGATCTCAGCTAGAAGTACACCATCTCTATTTTTAACAAAAGAGATTATTTTAAAGAAAGTACTGCCATGTACTGCAAGAGTGGTAGAGAACCATGCTTTAAAATTCTTACCTTGGAAATGAGATATCGTTCCTTCACTTTTTACGGTGTTAAAGACTCATTTTTGATTCTGTGCACTAAATAATTCCAGGAACACAAAAAAGTAACATAATGGATGGGAAATATTTAAAAATGAATAAAACTTGAAGCTAACAAAAAATTTAAAAATCATCTTACCTTAAAGAATTAAAGAGTTATCTCCTTTAGATATGCAATGTATACTCAAAAACTCATATGCTGAATTATTAGTTGTATTCTTAAAAGTTTGTGAATAATAGGGGCACCTGGGTGGCTCAGTCAGTTAAGCGTCCGACTTCGGCTCAGGTCATGATCTCACGGTTTGTGAGTTCAAGGCCTGTGTCAGGCTCTGTGCTGAGAGATCAGAGCCTGGAGCCTGCTTTGGATTCTGTGTCTCCCTCTCTCTCTGCTCTTCCCCCACTCATGCGCTCTCTCTCTCAAAAATAAATAAACATTAAAAAAAAGAAAGTTTGTGAATATTCACTTGTACTATATACAATAATGCCATTATTTAAAATACTGAATTTCTCCCAAAACTAAAAATGCAGATATTATTACACAGATATTTTCACAGCAAATCCATTAGAAGAGGAGGGCAGTTACCCCAATCTCTCAATCTGAGTCATATCACAAATTCATTTGAAAGCTTAAATAAGTATTTCCCAAGACAATGCCATTTAGAACTCTCTCCTTTTTCCTTAAGGAAATTGTTATAGTGATAATTTTCTGATCTGAATTTCATCATACATTTTTTTCAAAAAGGAGATTAGTATCTGCCTCAAGGTAAAACCAGAGTCTTATAAAACAACATGAAAAAAAAAAGTTTCAGAAGGTCTAAGAATTTGGGAGTAAACATTTAAGAACACTAGCTATAATTACATGGGTAAACACATTTAGTTTTATTATTCATGTAGTTTGGGAAAGTTTTACATATTATACATATGGCTGTATATATATTATTAATATATATGGTGACTGAGACATTTAAAAAATGATCTATATATGTACATAAAAGTTCAGGATTTCTTTTTTCATATTTAGTATAAAGATTCATTACTACAAAATTATTGGCTCCCTATCCTATGATTTCTGGAAAATGGAGTGTTGTTTCAGAAGTCATAAAAGTACAATGTTAAGTAGATTGCTATTTTGACCAATTTTTAGAACTTGATGTTCAATATTTACCAGTTTAAAGTAACTGTACCTAACTCCATGGCTATCCATCTTGAAAATCAACTCCAATTACTAGA